TGAGCCCAGGAGTTGGAGGTTGTTATGAGCTGTGATGCCATGGCACTCTACCCAGGGGGATAGCTTGAGGCTCCGTCTCAAAAAAAAAAAAAAAAGAAAGAAAGAAAAGACTCCAACACCGTGCAGGATTTTCTTCCTCTATTTGAGAGACAGTAGAATGTATTGAAAGCAAGCATTGGTTCAGTAGAAGATCTGGGTTGGAACCCAGACTTTGTCACCAAGCAACAGTAACCTTGGACAAATCCTGTCTCCTCTTTGAACCTCAATTTCCCCATCTTTAAAACGGGAGCAGTGATCTGTGCCTCACCAGATGCCTCCTTCACAAGGATGTTCAGGGAATCAAGCTCAAAGGCTTTGCATACGGTAACCGGTGAAAATAAGAGGCTTGCTTTTTAATCCGAGGGAACAGTGTCTGAGGCTATTACCGTGATTCACTGGCCGGGCAGGAGATGCGCTGAGCATTGCCTTGAAGTATTCAGCCCCGGTCTTGATTCATCCCCAAATCAAAGACGGAAACACAGCAAAAACTCAAGTTAGAGAGGGGCGTGTGTATGCAAGGATGTTCTTCGGGATGTAAGCCGCTCTTGTGTACTCCGCGGGTCTCGGGACCGAGACAAGAGGGGCTGACGGCACCATCCCCACGGGCACGCGCACCGGGCGCGCGGAGGCTCTCCCTACCCTAGGTAAGCGCCCCCAGCGCGGCGCCGGGTAATCCCAAGGCCAGTCCCGGCGCGCAAGTGCCAATCGGCGCGCAGTCCCCCGCGGCTCTCTCCCCGCCCCTTCCTCGGTCTCTCTCGGTGGAGCGAGCCCAGCTCCGGGCTTGAGAGCTGCGGCCAAGCCTCGGCCGAAGGCAAGCCGGAGAGCTGTACCGGACCCTGCGCTGCCGGCCCCAGGCCCGCAGTAGCGGGCATGCTGGCATGGCAGGACGGCGGGGCCAAAGCGGCTCCGTCCCATCACAAGATTTCCTTCTCAGTCCTGGACATCCTGGACCCACAGAAATTCACCCGCGCTGCGCTCCCGGCTGTGCGCCTCGCCCCCCGGGAAGCCAAGAAAAGTTTGGCGGAGGTCGAAGCGGGGAAGGACGGCCGCTCTGGGGACATGGGTCGACAGCAGGAGACCCCTGGTAAGAATGAGAGATGGCCCCTGTCTGGATGATGCGGTATAGTGTGTGTGGGGGAACAGCAAGGCCCCGGTGAATGGCCCTTAACGGCGTCCTCCCCAAAGAGAGAGGCGCAACTGGACCAGGTACTAAGTGTAGCCCCTGTCTCAGAATTGGATTGAGGTGGAGAGGAGGCTGTGAGCGTTCCGGGACAGGGATTTGCCATGGAAGCCCCATCTCTGCTCACCCGCCTCTGCTCGCAGGGGCAGCTAACACCCAGCACCCACTTTGCCAGGCTCACTTATTTACCTGGCATTTAAGGCGCTTCCCTCGTGCCAGGAACCGGGCGGGAATGAAGGTGATGAAAAACTTTGGAACCTGCCAGGTAGACAACATCGTTATCACCACCCGCATTTTATGGATGAGAGAGCTGAAGCTGAGGCTTGTGCCCTGGTGTCGATGAGTAGCGAGGTCAGGTGCCCAGACACCTGGAGACACCTACAGAGACGAGGTTGCCTCACACGCTCACTCTCCCCAGACCCAGCGCTTCATCGAGGCGGGGGTCGAGGCGTGGGTGCGGTAATGGGAAGCTTTTAGTACTTTGTCCTCGAAATCCTTTTGGCTTACTCATAACCCTCGCGGACACCTGACGAACGGTCTAGGAAAGTTGTGGTTAAAGGAAGGGTGAAAGACAGCAGGACTTATGCTGGGTGAGGAGTGGGCGCGAGGTCCCCAGGAGGGTCAGGAGTTCAGGTCCCCGGGGAGACTGGGCGTCTCACAGTCCCCTGCTCCCTTCTGCAAGTTTGGCGGTGATTGCCTGGGGCCCGGGGCGCCTCTGGCGGCCGCGCTTGGACCGGGGCGGGCGGCCTAGTAATTGTGCGGATCTTCGCTCCGAGGGGCCGCGCTCCCATCCCCCCACCCTCATGATCGATATTCTATTACTGGCGCCTGCATATCTGCTGCCCACAGCTTGCAGGTACCGACTTCAAACCCCCTTTCCCTGTCTGATCCTAATATTGTTCGATTAAAACTTACCTTTAATAGATGACATCTATCGATCCGGCCCCGCACAAATCTGAAACTCTATTAACACGGCGTGAGAGAGAAGATGGGAAAGGGGGAATTTCACTTTAAAGGGCGGGGGGCGGGGTAAACGGAGGGCCTAATAACTTTTTTTTAATTGCTAGGAGCGTTAGACCAAAATAGACTTATAGGGACTGGGGAGGCACAACCCTAAACGCGCTTGACTTTCGATGTCTTAATGTAAGACGTTCCTACCCCCCCCCATATGGCTGCCCAATAAGGTCACTATTCTTTCTTTTCTTTTTTTTGTTTTTTTTATTAAATCATAGCTGTGTGCAACAATGCAATACTATTCTTTTTTAATGAGGGGTGTCATTCATTCACCCCGCATATACTGCTCGGACGCCTATTTGTTGGCAGACTCATAAAGAGCTAGAGGACATCGCACCCCTAAGTGGCTTTCGAAAATGGACTGTCTGGGGTGGGGAAGCGCGGTGTGGAATGTACACAACTGGAGGTTTGGCTTGGGGAGAGGCGCGAGCTCTGAGGAGGTTTGGGGACCCGGACAGGCCGGGTCGTTTTGGGCTTCTGGTCACGATCCACTTCTCCCCTAGATGCTGCGGGCCCGGGCGCCGGGCCGGAGTCCCCGCTGGAGGGCTCCGAGGCCGAAGAGGAGGACGAGGACGCAGGACGGCCGCGGGCTGCGCGCTTTCTGGCCGGCCCGGCGCGCTCTCCGGAGGCCCAGGCCGGGGCGTTGGTGGCTGGGGAGCGCGGCACGGACGGCGGGGACGGCCCCACGGAATCCCCGGGCTCGCCCGGCTCCCCGCGACCCCGGCGCCGGCGCGCAGAGCCCAACTGCGCCAAGCCGCGTCGCGCGCGCACCGCCTTCACCTATGAGCAGCTGGTGGCCTTGGAGAACAAGTTCCGGGCCACGCGCTACCTGTCGGTGTGCGAGCGCCTGAACCTCGCGCTATCGCTCAGCCTCACGGAAACGCAGGTCAAAATCTGGTTCCAGAACCGCAGGACCAAGTGGAAGAAACAGAACCCGGGCGCCGACGGCGCAGCGCAGGCAGGGGGCGGCGCGGCCCAGCCCGGGACGCCCGGGGCCGC